TTCTCCACCGGTCAGGGATCCCCTTGTATACCCTCTGGCGAAGCTTGTGCGCTTTCGATGCCTTGATACCCCACGATTCTACATTTCCGCCGCTGTCTCGACTAAGAACTTCCAACATCCTGTCCCACTTGGCAACCCGCATCTGTTCCTTGAGCGGAGATGAAGCTGCGGGCAATGAGCTGACGGACACAGCATGGCTTGGGGCTGATTTCGAACCGGCCCTGACTGAAGTCAATCGTTTAACCAGAGGACCAGATGGTAGTAGAACCAGTCGATCGTGAGATGGTACGATGAAGAATCCATAGCTAGTTGCAAAATATGAGATTTGAGAGGATGTACTCCCCTGATCCAATCTCACCGGTCTAAGCTTGACAACACGTTGAGCTCTCGAGCTTCAAGGTCTCGTGATTTTTCTGAGGGACCAGCCAGGGCAGCCTCTGCGCGTAGCTCGCTTCCTTTACTGGCACGAATTCGTGCGCGTGTACGTTCCACGCCCTCCTCGTAGCCATCGCCTCTGACACCAGTTGCGTCGAGGTGTGCATACGTACTCCGCACGTGGAACGCGTCCACGTCTTCACCTTCTGAGGGCACCAGCGACGTTTTGCTAGAAGGACTGCTTAATTTCGACGGCTGTTTAGTGGTGGGAGAGGAAGATGGCGTTTGAGAGGATGGTGGGATTAAAAAAGACGTTGGCTGTAGGGGGGTGAGAACCACAGTAGGTTCAGGAACATGACGTTCTCTACTTCTCAGCAAGGACGGTGGGTGATTATGGGGAGGCGTAAGATGTGATACAGGAGGCGAAACGGCGTCTAGATCACTTGAAGAACTACATGAAGTGAGAGCACTTTGGGAACGAGTTGGGATAGGAGGAACGCGCTTGGAACGTGTAGGAAGTTCCAGGGTGTCTCTTCCATGAGCGTGATTCGAAAGCGGGAGTGGGTAGGACGAGTTGGCAGAGCCATTCGAAGTAGCTGATAGCGGTGTCCGATCATGAGGGTTTGACAATGTGCTGAAGGGCTTCATGTCTGAGGATAGGTCGATAAAAGTGGTGTCGGTATTGGAAACATAGGAAGTCCTGTGATTAAAGAAGTTACTGTAATTGAAGCTGTCCCCCAAGGTCAAGTCAAGCTCTTTGGAAGGATCCTCGAAGGTTGAAGAGGCAGTCCAGCTGGTTTGCTCTTCGTCGTCACCGTACATGGAATATATGGTAAATATGGCAGATTCTGTTGAACTGCGTTCTCTGTCTGTCGACGATGATGAATAAAGCTCTGGAACGGAGGACGCTGTCGACGATGGTGATAACCTCGGATAACGACGACTCAGTGATTGTTTCGGTAACGCAAGAGTGGTCGACGACGACGGAGTCTCCATAAAATAGAGAAGTCAGGCAAGAAAAAAGAACTTGAAGAAGAAAAGGGAATCGAATTGAAGGAACGTCGGAGGAAGAAGAAGCTTGGGAAAAGTGAATGCGCCCTTTGAGAACTTTGGATGAGAGATTTCAATGAACGCCGATTCAGGCAAGTCACGACGGTCAGTCTGCAACAGCCACACCGCAGCGCTGGCTGCCAGCTGGCATGGCAATTCACTCTTTCTCGTAAGTTGTCTACTATGTAACATGTTACCTGCTAGGCTGCACATAGCAATAGCAATCTCAGACTATTTTGATGTTAACAGGATTTTGGCAAACAACGGACACGGTTTCATCATGATGTGATCAACGACACACCAACTTTAACTTGAAGATGTGCCGCATGATAGACTTGCATTCACAGAGTGAGAAGTACTCTCTAGTGTTCGTGGGCAATGTCATCCTACAACCATTCAGGTGGGACAAACTTCCCACTCATAACTTATCCTCAAGCATGTGGCCGATAGGTTGCAATCATATGATACATTCCAATGTCAGTTGATCCTCTCCGTTCGGTCCGGCACTGATCTTTCGAAACTCAGATCTCCCAAATTTCAGTTAATCGATCATTCGTATGTTACGCACGATATCGTTCCTGAACTGCACACATCCTCTCCTGCCAAAGTGACCACTTAGTGCCAGCTGCTATGTAGCGATGAGAGTCTATCCCGGCGTCAATTAACAGCCATGTTCTGATACGATATCATCCGTGCTGGCAGTCTATCACATCCTTTCCAAAAACAATCAGGAGCAAGGGTGGAGCTCCAGAGGGCCAGTCAGGCAATTACCGAGACCGTCAAAGACGACGTGGAAAGCGGCAATATAGAGGAAAACAGAAGCGACACTGCGGATGATACTGCTGGCGAGACAAGACATTGGACAACGAACCATCAAACTGAATTCCATATCTCAGTCCCCTAGAGCAACAATCACTCGGCTTGGAAGGAAGCCAGAGTTCTCAATTCGAATAACAAGGCTCTCCATATACTCCATGGAATAAGTACGATGGGCTCAGTCCGCAGACCACCCGTCCTTATCTTATACAACCTGTGCTGGCAGCTTGTATTTTGTCCAGCGATCAGAAGCATGAGCAGAAAATATTCGGCGGCGGAATGTTACAAGTTTGTCACGATCTGATATGAGCTCGCGCTTGACGTTTAGAGCAGAGAACATGGTAAGTCTCTCCAGCACCTCTATACAAAGAAAGACTCTTATTTCCTTCTATTGGTCTACCTAGTGGAGACTAAGCGCCTCGAGATCAGTCTGCCAGAATACATGGCAGACTAAAGCTACTTCTGAATAATCACTGTTTCTCAGTTTCCTCAAGCAATAGCTATGTCGCTCGATTTGAGCAGAGATCTGTCCAATTCAAATTTAAAGGCGCCAGCCCCATCTACTCCGTGGAATTCGAAATGCCTTGCTCCGTTAGTTGGGTTTTTGATCAGCCTTATCCCAGAATCGGAAAGTCTGATAGTACCTTATCACCTCGGCCGAGCTCATGTGATGTTGCCGAGGGAGGATGTTGGTAACGAACTAGCAGCATCATACTGTTTCTAACCTGATCACAGTTAGTTTGCGAACCGCCGCAACTACAATACTGCCACTACCTGAACAGCGAATTTAATTATTCATGCTGAGAATGGATCCAACTGAAGCACTCCTTAGCCCTTAGGCTGGTCTATGGCTGTACCTTCATGGACGCCGGAGTCAGTGCACCGGTCAGGGTAGCCGACATATACGGGAGAGAATTTGTGTTTGACCTAGCGGTGTCTGTCGCAATGCAATACTCGAAACAAAAATACCCTGACCGTTCAGTTCAATGGCGTCTGTAGCCCTGACCAACTGCTTTTTCTTGGGCTCGAGCAACATTAAGCGCGCATCGGCGCCACAACTTTGTCGGATTTGACGGGGACGGTGATTACGGGCCGTGGATCTTCAAACTAAGAGTAGGGCGCTGATAGGATGCCCCGAAGATCGTGGGCAGGATTCGCACTGCATGTCATATGGAAGCTACCACTAGAATGCTTCAGGACTCGACAACGCTGATCATATTAATAGTCGTTCCAGCCTCTGACTCGACGTTTGAGGGCAAGTGCTAAGTGCACTCCTTATTTGTTTCGAACTCTGTATATATTCCGCTAGTGGTTTCCACCGTGGTACGAACCGGAACTCGCGTGCGAAAATTCTATGATCAGGCGGTGGCCCCACGATACAACAAGTATAACAGACATCACAAGGCTTTTTGCTAGATACGATGGGACACAATCTGTCGAATCGGAAAATCATAAGAGGCGCCAGATAAACGCGACCCGTACTAGTAGGGGCTGCAATATAATCTTGGTACATGGCCAATTTCCGAATTTGAGCACTTTTCATCATTTCATCGTTTGTATGACTTATGTTTTCACTTTCCCTGCAGCTGACGTTCTGCAGTTTCTGCAGATGTTTGTGCTGAGACCACGCCTGATTCTTAGTTGTGTATCACGAAAAATGCCCTAGGACACTCGTTGGGTATTCTCCTGAAAGTGGTGCTCGTTCGTGGTGGGACGCCGCGCGGTATGAATGAATAAATAAATGATCCACGCTCATACCTTGGCATACGAGCATCTTATGTAATCATACACGCTTCATTCAACGAAGTCACGTGATGTCATGTGATGTGCCGGAGGGGAAGAGCTTTGAACTTTCGAAGTTTTACTAATCTCACAGTCGGAAGTCAACTAGTCACAGTCTACAATAATGTATTTGCTCAACCTCCACGATGAGAACAGTCCTGCAGACATTTGTGAAATTCAAACATCTGGTACAGCTGCTCTCACCTGCACTGCCACTCCTCAATCAGGGTGTAGTTGTCCTTCCCATTTCTTATTTCAGATTGATCTGGAGAGAATCATTGCAGCTGTTGTGTAAAGGGAATTTACCTTGATTGTACTGGTGAATGCGGCGATGTCGTTTGACATGCGAGGATGTTGATGCACTGATGTTTGGAAGCACCAACAGCATGTTCACATAAAGTTCAAAGGCTACAAATACTGGTATAGTGGATAGGGAAATCAGCGCTCAGCACCAGCCTTCATGTGGAAGGACTAACCCTTGACCTATCGACATCTTCTGACACGTTGTCCGGGTACCCGCGGTAGGCAAGTCATCTCGTGCCAGTATAATTCTGACACGCGGCCGACAACCTGCTGCCTGTCTGGGTGCCATTGGGGTGCCACCTACATTACACGACATCACAATCACAACAATAATCTGATCCTCCAATCCTCAACACCACTCACACTCACCTCGATCAGCTGTGCCCGCTCCCTCAGGCTGGGCACCACGACCCTCCTCGCTCTTCGTATCTCAACCTCGGATTCCGTCCAATCAAGCTGCGCATACAACGCCCGAGACCAATTGTGGGACTCGTGCCCATGTATTACTCGTGGGCTCCCTACCGACAAGACACGTTATGGTTGTAGGCGCCGGCATGAAGGCCAGAAACACGTTAAAGACACGACGACCGCACGAAAATGCACATGCCGACAGACCTGTTGACTCGTGATAACCAAGATTTTTCAATGCTTCCAATGCGTGGCAGTTTTTTTCACTAGGACGACACGTTCCGCTGTGGATCCTCATCAAGTTTCAAACGCCCGGGATTAAAACCTCGGACTTGCAATCATACAAAGCGGGCTATTGCTTAAACGCCAACGCCACCCTGCACGTCTACACCCATACATACGCGCACGGACGGACAAGAAAGGAAATAAAAAGTTTCAGTGGCACAGTCACGATATGTGGCGAACATTTTGCTTCCACACCTTATTGTCCAGTTATTTGTGGAGCAGGCATTTTGCTTAAATCCTTGGTTCCTGAAGATGAGCAGTCATCGTCCCCTTTCCTCACAGGCATTCTAAAATTTGTTTGATCGCTCCGGAGCCGTTTCACGCCGCATACATACCAAGATGGAAATGGATACCGCACGTTACGACTCCATGGACGCACAGCGTTTCCACCCATTACTGCGCACTAGCACAGTAAGTATTTCTTTGCCTTTCATTTCATTTCTTTGCATCTTCTAAACACCACGCTCACCTCCATTTCCATTCTCAGAGGCCTAACTCGCTCTCTAAAACCGGCACTGAAAAATCGACAATGGGGCAGGGCCTTTGCGTCAGAACTCGACCGTGTGGACTGTTTCCTGTACGTGCGAGCGTAGGTGGTGTATGGCCGGACCATGAGGTTGTAGTTGTCCCTCTTGAGGGGGGAGATGCATATTCGGAGGCATCACGTTCATCTACACCGAGTTCTTCTGCTTCTTCTGCTTCTACTACATACGCCACTGCGTCTTCCGTTATGCCTGATGTGCCTCCATCGCACGCTCAACAAGTCGATGTTTACGAGAGAGATGACGTTGTGGTCACACGCACCATCATCCGTCCCAATCCCAATCCCAATCCTACTCCCACTCCTTCTCGCAATCCAAGTCGTATGCCATCTAGAGCGCAGATGAGGATTCCACGGATATTCTCACGTTCGCCATCTCCCACCTCCTCTCCATCTTCTTCATTATCCGCATTACCACGGTCCAACCCACCTTCGCGCCCTACGAGCCCGGTGCTCCAAGTGCTCAACTGTTTCAGCACATCCTCGACTTTTGAGAGGGATGAGGATGATGTGCATATTGCTGAGAGTCCCAGGCCTACATTGCAGGTTATTGTTACGCAAACGAGGGAGAGATACGAGAACGATAGGGCGTTCAAGGAGATTGTGGGGAGTGTGTATCCGAGACCCGCTGCTGTGGGGAGCGGTGCTTGATGCATCGACGCTTAATGCTTTCAAGTGGATTTTGATTCTTGTACCATTGGTTTTCCCCTGCATATCTTATTGCATATCTTATTAATTGCGATCGTCAATATATATGGCTAACTTATATCGATCTAACGGCTCGATGCTATTCTGCAGGCTTTCCTCCATGCCATAATTAATATCTATGCCAATCATATATTAGGGACTAATGGCTTGATTTTATTCAGCAGATGTTCTTTCACGCACTTTTAATATTTATATATAGTAGCATTATGGTCCTTCATAGCTTCTCTGAGCGGGGTATATAATTCCGTACTGTATGCGAACGATCTGCTGTTGGGAATGCGACTCCAGCTGGAAAAGAGCCCTTCCTCTCAAGTGGGTGATGTAACATAAAGCTTAATGTGTGCTTCCACAAGCATCTCTAGAGCCCGCGCACTAACAGGAGATCTCTTTATCGTGGCTCTCTGAAATAGCAAAAAGTAATTATGTGACCACCAAGAAGAACACATTCACGTACAAGAGCAAAAGCTGTACCACGATACACGAATCCAAAGAGTTCCTTAAATTCTGGATGTGTCTTGGACACGCCGACTGCATCAAGGTGTCTTACGGTAAATTTCTTGATGATCTGTGGAATGTGACGTTTGAGTACAACACAATGATGCCAAGGAGGGTTGGACAGACAGATTTGTTCTCCTGCTCTATATCACAAATTCCTTCGTCCACCGCGCGTGCTTTACCTTTAGCATCGCTGACGGGTCCGAAAACGTCTCCCTCTGGTGCGTAGTTGGTTTTCTTTGCTGGGAGCGTGGGTACTTTAAATCCAGCACTGCTTCTTTCCTTGTCCTTTCCTCGCCCTCGTGGTTTCGAATTCGGTAAATGCAGCATGACTTCCCTCGCCCGTCTCACTACCTCTGAGTCATCTCCTTTGACTTTGATCCTTGTGTTTGCTGCCAGTTCTCCGATAGATTGTGTGCGCGTGAGAAGATGCTGAGGCGGTTTTCGGGGTGTAGGATCATCTGGGCGGGGAGCTCGAGTCGCAGGAATGATTCGTGCAACGTGAATCGTTAGGGATGGAGTAGTCAGCGACGAATGGATCTTTCCAAATATCAGTATTTCTGTCGTTGCTGGACCATCTACAAATAAATGACAATCAGTCCAGATCAAATAAAAGAATCAAGGAGTGAATGTACCAGTATCTCCCAAGGCTACACGCACGCCTGTTTCTGTCCGTCCATCAGGAGACAGATGCGATAAACAGAGCATGTTTTCAAAGTAGACGCGAGAGAGAGTGGCGTATGGATGGATGTCCCTGTTGGATGTGAACGGGGTATTGTGGGAGTTCAATGTATTCACATACATACAGACATCATCTGAAGGGTCTATGCATATATTCTTGAGCAATTCTGTACCTTTTAGTCTGAGAGAGGGACGACCGCGCATGCTCTCGAGTGCTAGTGCGAGTGGGTTGTGGAGGAGGTCTTTGTTAGCCAGAAGGTTTGCTGAGAATGTGAGTCCATCTAAGAGGATATAAGAGTCCGGCAGGGAGAGCGAGCCGCGATATAGGAGACGAGAGCTCGATGCTTCTGACATTAATCAAGACAGCTGTTCGACCGCGTTGTTGATGCTTGTTTACGCGTTCAAGTCCTTTGTTGTGATGACTCATGTGCATGAACGTTTGAACTTTGGGTTTGTGGCAGAAACCTTGTCAATGTCATGGAGACTAGGCTAGATGCCCTCTGGTATAGCTTTCTATAATACGAACATAGACCCTTTGTCCCGATCGCCGCCGCCGCGACCTATATTTCTTTCTGACACCGAACAACTGCGGTCATCTGGCAAGACGGCTGCGGCTCCGAATGGTCACCTGGAGTAAGAAGGTTTGTCCCAACGGAATGGGTGAGACGTTCGCCCGGAAAACTGTCCTAATATGTCTCAAAATCACAGGTACTTGTCATGTTTGGCAGTCGCGCCTCAGATGCTCATTTCACCAGACTTGTCGTGCTGTCTATCCCAGGTTGAAAGCTTTGAACCGTTGCAGCATTTCATAAATCCTCGCTGACTCCAAGCTCAGCGAGTATTGTGGTTCAGTCAATTCCATATCAGTCGTGCGTAGCAAAGCAAAGTTCAAGGATTCTTAAATTCATGGAAATGATAAGCTCCAGCTTCAAGAGGGAACGTGAATGAGGCTAATGTTGTATGCAGAAGTATCGGCGTAGGGGTTGAATTGCACCTTTACTTCTGAAGAGTCAATACGCACAATGCCCACTCCATCATGAGCCCCGTGCCCTCGTCATGATACATGACGTCAACCTCATCCACAGTTGGAATTTACGGGCTTCTACCCCTTCTCGGCTTTCTGGGATATGTGCGAGGTGAAGCATATCTTAAATATCCTCTTATGATATGGAGAGGAGGTACATCGATAGTCGTACATGTACCGGCGGTTCAAACAAGTCTCGACTAAGAATCTACAGCAACTTGCAGGTCGTTGAAAGAAAGAATCAGGATTGTCACGACAAGTATCAGTCCCATCAACTACTTCCAGGGTGTGTTTATGTTTATGTCTACAGGTTACATATGTATATCCGCTGCCCCTGGCACGGGGCTTCTGCCGGATGATGGGTACGTTCTCGCCGCGAACTTCCGTCACCCAGTTGCTTCATCCTTCAGCACAACTATTTGGCCAAGCCGATCAGCAGAGCTGCCGATCCGGTGCATCGCTTGGATTGGGTCTAGAAGTTGATGTTGGTGGAGCAGCCTGATCTGCTGTTTTGATCAATCGATGGTGCAGTCAACATTAATGTGGAACATTGATAGACAATTACAACGCATTCAGCTGTAATCAGATCGGCACCATTCTTCCTGCGTGTCGATAAGAGATGCAAGCACACATGTTGCGTTATCCCCCTCTCCTCAAGGATGCCCACTCTCAGTGATCCAAAAACGGCTGACATCGTCGTCATGATCGATGACGTGCCCGCTGGTGTTCACCGTCATGCTCGTGGTGACCTTGAGAGAAGATTACTGAGAAAGCTTGATTTGCGTATGTCCATAATACTGATTTTATATACCTTGAACTTCGTGAGTCTGAGGTTTTTGCAAACTATATTTTGATACTCACTGCACCCTAGATTGACAGGACCAATATTAGGTGCGTGACATACCGCTGTACTTGCGTGAATCTTATGACGTCTACAGCAACGCTCGGTTGCAAGGTTTTGAGAAAGACCTGCACCTCCATGGGGAACAATATGCCACAAGTTTGTCCATCCTATTTGTTGGATACATCACAATGCAAGTGCCAGGGTGAGTTTCGTCATTCATCCACAAACAGCTGAATGTAATTTTTCTTCAGGAATATGTTCCTACACTGGCTGGAAAAGCCTTCTGTCATGCTTCCGTGTTGTATGTTAGCATGGGGTACAATATCAGTATTGTCAGGTTTGTCTACAATGACTGTTCATGAAGATGACTGATTGCTAATCGTACTCAGGGATCACAACGAAGTAAACTTCCTTGTTTTCCATCGTTCAGATCTTGTTTCTGATAGTTTGACTCAAGTTATACTGGGATTGTTGTCGCCCGCTTCTTTCTTGGCCTTGCCGAAGCTCCCTTCTTTCCCGGTGTCATATTTCTTGTATCTAAATGGTACAAGCGAGACGAGGTCGCCTTGAGAATAGCTCTCGTTTCTTGTGGAATTTTTCTCAGCTCTGCATTCGGATCGCTGCTTGCATCTGGTATACTTCACGGCATGCAGGACAAACTTGGTCAAGCTGCATGGAGGCAGGTGGCGATCGTTTCTATCGCTCCTTGGAGCTGAATGATCTGTAGATGGTTATTTTACATTGAAGGCGGCATCACCATCTCGGTTGCGATTTGCGCGATGTTCATACTCCCTGATTTCCCGTACAACACCAGGTGGTTCACCCCGGAGGAAAAAGAACTTGCTATATCTCGCCTTGCAGAAGATGGCCACGATAATGCTGACGAACTTGGAAAGCAGACGGCCATGCAAGGACTGCGGGATGCCGTGTCTGACTGGAAGGTGTGGTTGTTTTCAGTTGCAGCTATGTTCCAGGTAGTGGGGCAGTCTTTCGTCGGTTACTTCCCAACGCTGTGCGCGACACTGGGATATGACACGACTGTAACGCTGTTGCTTTGCGCTCCTCCGTGGGTGTTCGGGGGTATGATCGCATTTTCTCTTGCATGGTTAGTCGATCATTTCTATCAGAAAGTCGCATCTCACGGGGCCCAGGTACTCTGACAAAAAGCAGAAACGTTACAAATGCTTCATGGTCTCCAATGCACTCTGCGTCCTTGCATTCACCATATCGATATTTACGATGAACAAGGCTGCGCGCTATATTTCACTGTAAGTATCGCCATTCGTGGGGCGTCAAGGCTCTTGTACTCAGAAATATACAGGTTCCTGATGACTCAAGTCGTCGGTGGATACTTGGTGCTCTTAGGGTGGATCAGCAACACTTTCGCCAGAGAACCTGCGAAGCGCGCCGTTGCTATTGCTCTGATGAACACACTGGGGCAGACAGGCAATGTGATTGGATCGTCAGTGACATTGTCATCGATCTCTCACTCTCGCTCTTGCTAATTATTCACGACTGCACTCCACATAGGTACGCATGGTCGTCGAACTGGGGCCCGACATATCGTTATTCCTATGCCATCTGCATTGCTACACTTGGAGTGTCGACATGCATGTTTGGTGGTATGTATTTGTATTTGAAGCATTTGAATGAGCAGATTGAGAGGAACGAACGGGACGTAAAGGATATCAATGAGCTTCGGCACCCGATCGGTTTTAGATATCTGGTGTAGTTGAAGAAGATTGCTGAGACTCTGACAGTAACATCGGATGGTTGTTTACCCGTTCAGAGGAGAGTCAGACCTCTGAGTCTTGTTCTTCGCATTAATATTGATAAGACAACATGGAGACAATGGATAGGATGGCAACCCCCTCAAAGGCAAGTATCTATCTGGTGTCGGACATCATTCGTGCTATCGTAAGTGCCGAGTTTCATAGCCATTCGCATCTGCAAATAAGAATGTTCATTCGCTTCCTGAGCTCGTACGTTCAACTCAAGTCCCCGTATGTTTCTTCTGATATCATGTATGCCAGATGTTGTTTCATTGATGATTACCAGATACCAGACCTCGGAACCCAGTCATGGATAGTATCAACAATCTTCATTAGCAACTTGTTGAAAAGAATAACAAGATTACCCATACCCAGCCCATACATTCACTGGCACACAAGGGACTGTATCAGCTCTCTGGCGCGTGCTTGGGGCTGTTAATGTAACAAGATGGCCCCACGAGAGGTTTAAGGCATTTTTGACACGCTCAAAGTGTCCCCTGAAGACCCTGATAATGATGAGTTATCGATCGCATAGTATAGGTATTTGCAAACAATTTATGATTGAGTCCGTACAGCTTGTACAGTACCCCATCAACACTGCAGCATCGACATACGTCCTGGACCGAACAGTGCAGTCACGCTCGCGTCAGGGAAACGATGCGCTAGTGGTGTTGGTGAGGACGAATGATGCAAGAATATATTGGTCTGCCCCAGAACCTGTTTCTCTTTCAAATTTACTTCCATGCGACCAACAAGTTGCATATCTAAGTATCAAAACGAAACTCTGAATAAACACAAACGAATTCGTATCTAGAATCCTCTTCCGTTTCGCATAGTACTGCTAGTTGACACAGACACGCTCCTGGAAATCGATTGAAGTCATAGCGGTTGCTGCATCGGAGTGGGTCACAAGCTCAGCATGATATTCTCGAATGCTTAGGACGAGGCGTGGTCCCAGTATAAACATCTGCGTGAGCATAAGTATTTCAGAGAAACCACTATAAGCTTGAGTCTCTGTGGAATATGAGGACTATGAAAATGATGAATCAGGGTTGCATGCATAGGTCAGAATAGATCGGCGTACCGCTGACATCTTCGGAGAAAGATAACCGATGGACTCTATGCAAGCAAGAGCGACAAAGCTATCACATACAGGACTTGAATTAGCACCAAAAGAATATATTCAGATTATGAGCTCACTTCGCAAAGTAAACAACGTGAGTTTTCATTAAAACCGTGAAACAGTCCGTGATGAATCCTCCTGATGATCGTTGTCGCAGTTCACGCAAGTGTTTTACAGCTACCCAGACTGCGAGAAACAGTGTGAGGACCTCCCATGCCGTGAGGAGCATCCAAGCGATGTAATCCAGAACTCGTAGGCTCCTCTCTCCAAAATCAACAGCGCACTCATAGTTGCCGTAAAGAACGTGTTCCTCTGATATTTGTCAACTAGCCTGAATCTTTTATCCACAATTAATACTTACCCACTACGAAACGGCTCACCATTATTGCGATCATTACTCCGATGGCGATTCTGATAGCCAGGAAGACAACGACGAGGAATGTCAGCACACGTCTGGATTTCTGATACATGACATATAACCGAACGATCATGATGACTTGGCTGATGTTTCAGTCAAGTCCATATCACAAAAATCCATAGCTCACCACCCAACATTATATTTGCGACACCGTTGATATATTCTATTGCATCGATCAACACATGGCCTGACAAATCAAGCAATATGAATTATTAGTCTCGGAGGAGCACACATTTGAAAGAAACTCACAGCTGTGGAAGTCATTATCTTGAACCAACGAGTCTTTCGAGAATATCACTCACCCCTGCATGGCAATGTGTTGGTTGAACGGGAATGATAAGGGTTTACGAAGAATACTCACTATATCTGTCACCGAAATTGTCGGAACATAAACTGTATATCCTTGGTCAGAATAGGCACGATGAATGCGAGGAGACACACCTAGAATGCAGATGCTGGTTGTAAACAATAGCTAATTAGCGCAACGCCGATTGCATAGCCTCCGAAACGTACACGGCATATATCATTCCGATGTAGCGCACCTAGGGTATTTCGAAGTTAGCACCATGACTTGCCAACCACATTTATGTCACGAGGTACATACACCGAGATACATCACGGTCATCAGGGACCAGTGTTGGTTCTGCCGCAAAATAGTTGGACTATTACGTCGTTCGTCCGATACAAGAGTCCACTCACCCAGATTAGTTCAACCTGTAAAATCATCATTAGCGGGATGGTTGCTTCAATAATGGCATCAACCTGACCTCTTGTCCGAATGTGAGTGCTTAAAATACCTAGGTATATCAGTGGTTTTTTGATGCTCGATCCTGCTCACCCCAGTCGTACATTACACAGACAGAGGAGGCAACTGCGAAACCGTGAGCAAGATTAGATCGAGTTTTCATTGTCATAATCCGACTAGCTGTCCACGAACCTACAAAATAGCTGCACATGTCATGTGGATCAAGGAGTGGCCCGGACCACCTGGGATCATCTGAAACTAGCGAGGTCATATTATTGGAGGATGGAAGTGAGCGAGCAGGAGAAACTTGGGAGGACGTATGGAGATGGCCTCTATGTTAGATATACCACCATCAAGTGCTTGGGATGATGCCTCTTCCTGCCTTGGTTGGCATATGAAGTGAAGCAGGCGAGGATTCTATCAATGAGATACTGTAGATCACATGCAGTCCTAACTTAGCGCAATATAATCATCGAAGAAGCTTGAGGCCTCGGATTTCAATGATAACATCGAATTCAGCAATCCCTTCGCCTCGCTGGTCCAATTTACGAAGCACGATAAGTCTCTTAACAAACGACTTGGTTACATTCTATTAGCCTAAAGGTCAGAGATAGACAATGATATCATTAGTAAATGTCACTAACAGACAACTCACCAGTGCACCTTCATCATCAGATCTGCCAGCACACATACCTCAACGCGTAATCCAATAAACCGCTTTCCTCTCCCAAAATCAATCGGATCCCCGGTCCTGGGATTGATCATCGGTCGCTCCATGCGCACTGTAACGCTCATGTTTTCGATGTCTTCATCGGGATACGATGTCACAAAGACTCTCATGCGTAGGTAGCTTTGTTACAGATAAAGTTTCAGTGCATAACGTACTAGATAGATGCAATTGCTCCGACAATTCAAATACTGTCCGTATTGGTGTGGGTAGCTTGTATAGTTTGCGGTGTGCCACCTCAATGCCTAGTGACTGAAAGTTAGCTTCCCGTACTATATGCCTGCGAACCAAATAGAGGGAGGGACGGTTTTTCCTTGGTTACGTGAAATACAAGCGAGTAGTATCCGCACCATTTCCTTTAATTCGTGTACATGCTGGTGAGTACAGATGGGACAAGAAGTACGTTGTTCCCAATTCCCAGTCATTGAAACACGACGTGTATAGTGACGAGGGCAGCCGTACAAAGATTTGGAACAGGAAAGATGAAGAGCGGGTATATAAAGTCAAGGGATCGGCTGTACGAAGAAAGAACGATGAAGAAGGAATGGTAGGAACATGGAACGAAAGCAACAATGAAGGTGTGGTGATGATACACGCTTTAATGAATGTGCGATGACTCCAGTTTAGTGGTTCACAAGTAATGACGAGAATGAATGCACCGTTGAATAAATGCCTGTGAATGAACTTGGGGGAGTGAGTGCCGGTTGGATATTCAGACGCATTTCTTTGAAAGCTGAGGAATTTCACCCATCTATTGAAAGGACTATCCCAAGCCCAAGAGACACAGACCAATATTGATCAGATCAAGGAGCCAAGAAATAGGTATCAGATAGTGCTTTTGTGTATGTCTAGCATCATATCGAGTCTGCTGCAGAGATCGGAGGAGTCGCTGAAACAAACTTCATGCTGGCCGCGCAAGCTTTAGGATGAGTTTGATCACCACGTGATCCAATGTTTGCGTCCGACTACATCCGTCCTTACTACCCTACTACTACCGTACTAGCCTATGTAGTAATCTCCCAAAACCAGACCACACAGAAGCAAGACGGTCATTCCCCTTGAGGTTATCGCGTCGACAGGCAAAATGCAGGCAACCGAGGGGATGACAACCAACTTGAAGGCAAATTTCTGTGTCGGACCTGCAACAAGCTGCAAGACATCGTATCATTCTTATATGCAAATGACGAGCGGCTATGTTCATTCGCTTCGGCTCGCAGGTTCAACTTAAGCTCCCATATATATATTTTCCAATATGTACGTTAGATGTTGTTTCATTGATGATTACCAGATTCCAAAATTTCAGACCTCGAAACCCCATACTCCGAAGCTAGTTTCCCTGATGCGAAAAAACCCGCTATCGGCATTATCATTACTGAATGCTAACAACAGCTAGATGTGTTCACGAGATCTCAGGACTGCAAGCTAGCGATGGATAGTATCATTACTCTTTACCAGCAACTCGTTGAAAAGGGTAAGATTACCCAGTCTATGATACATTCACACAAGAGACCTGCATCAGCTCTCTGGCGCTTGCCAACTGAAGTCTTCTCCCGCATTTTGATGACTGTCTCCCTCAAGATAAGTACTTGTCATCTGCGTCAAAGCTGGCCTCTGTCCTGCTGACAAGAATATGCAGACGATGGAGGGATGTTGCTGTACTAGGCACGCCCATTTTATGGTACAGACTGTTTGTGGACGTCTACGATAGGGACTGGCAACAAACAGTCTTTTAAAAAGAAGAAAAAAGCAATCACAACGCCGTCCTCTCATGAGTTGGAAGTCAAATCCGTCGGAAAAAATACGACCAACCATCGTCAATCAAATCTTGTCGCTCTATATCTGTTTTCCCTCCTCCTACCTCAACGTTCCATTTGTGTCAACAGACCTTATAGTACTTTAGTAACTGACCATACATAATTCTCATCATGATTCACCTTTTGTGCAACGGATCTTCCGACTGCCGCTTACTCTTCGCAGTCTCAAGCTACTGGAGCTGTAGTTCGGCATCAGGTAGCTGTCTTCATTAAACACCATGTGGTTCCACCCGACAAACGTCCACATCGCAGACGAATATCCACTCAGACTTATTTGCTTGCTTGTTCGATGAGCTATCACTCCCCAATTTGCGCATGCTCGAGGCTAGTGAAATATTTCTGTAGCCCTATGAGGAGTTCAAGAAATTTTTGGCGCATTCGAATTGTCCCCCGGAGAATCTGATTAATGTTGGAGTGTGGACGACAGATGCATCGATGAGGAGCGAGTGAAATAATACCATAACTGCACTCATTCCTTCCATGGAAGTAGTAGTGGATCCCAAGCATCCAAATTACCGTGACTCAATACTCGCAAGCACAATGAAATGGCAGACTATAGATCTCATCAATAAGTCAAAAGAGGGTTCTGCTTCAGTGCCTAGGATACAATATACTCCAGCTCAATATTCAATGCTCAGAGGACTCGCAATTAATTTTATCACAGAGATATGACAGCTCCGATACTTTACAATGTAGTATGTACAAGCATGAATTTGCGCTAATACAGGTTATCTACCGGCGCGCACGGCTATAAATGGGCAATACACATATTCCTCGGAGGTAGGAGCGGTGGGATGCGCGTCAACAGTGGCGGCGGGATATGCTAGGGTCGTTGCAGGTGGTATATATAGTATAGTGACGGAGCATCGATATTGCGACGGGGGTGCATCGAACAGTAGCCCTGAGGGTGTGTGCAAGGCCATGATTAGTAAGGTTGGGATACATCGTAATAATTAATGGGCCCATCGGGAATGCATATGATACTTTAATGATGCACTCAAGATGCATTAACTTGAAGGGTGGATTGCAGATGGCCCATCATCGTGACTTAAATCACTGTAATGTTTCATAATGCACTATATATTAGCAGGTATTATGAACATAGTATTACGGTGTCATACCACCCGGTTCAACCATCTTGCGGCATCGTTCATTAGTTTCTTTGTCGCCGGGTGAGGTCTTTTCAGATTGGAACCATGTTCACATACCCAACACTCACCCTTGCATGTTGCCACCACCCTTTAGGAAAATGCATCGGCATGAGTCCCTTGACATGGTATACATTCGTAATAGTGTCAGGACGAGCATCGAAGTTTCCGCCCTATTTCCGTCAAACCGTTGCGACTCGGACGATATCACAGGTGAAGAGCAGGATGTGTCAAACGGCAAATTTATAGTTCATCCACCAAACATATTAATTAATACGGCAACAAGTTGAACTGGATTCATAATCGACGACATACTTCAAATAAGCCGTATGAGTTCTCCGAGTCAGGGAAACCACGTCGCGTTGAACAAGGAAGCTATGCACGTCACGGTGGAAGCCTGCTGAATGACATGCGCCATACACTTGCTGTGCGCGACTCGGAGTTCCCGTTGTAGATGCCTAGCATGAAGAATATTTTTTCTTCTGATCGTGCGCATGATGGGCTAAGGAAAGTCGATCGGTTGGTCGCGGGTAGTGACTACTAACTAGGCAGTTTACCTCAGTGTGTCCTGTCGGCGTGTCTCGTGCCAAGTTGTCGCGGAGCTTCAATTTAAATTTCGCGGGCTGTTGTTATATCGCTGAGCTACCGCACACGATATATTATACAAAGCCAACAGACACAAAATATGGAGACACAAGAATACTTCATACTACATAGTCATCAAAAATTCAATACACGTTGCATCATCTAAGCTCGGCAGTATATACTTCTCAACGTCTGGCCTCTACAGCGCCGAGTATCAAGAACCGCAGACATTCAGGGCTCAGTCCTCGGCCTCTAACATGTCAATGGTCTTCTGAGCAGCGGCCTCTTTCGCAGCCTTCTTGCTTGTCGCCGACGCTTCACCGTATTTCATGTCGTTGACTAGATGAACACGATAAGCAAAATGTACGTCGGAGCACTTATGAAGAACAAACTACGCACTGAAATAAGTGACAGTCCATACAATCGTGTTCTGCGGGCCGCTAGGTGTTTCCTCGTACTTGATGCGAGAAGTGGAGGATACGCCATACTTGGCCTGCATGATGTTGTTGAGATGCATGACAAAATCTGTTCATCATGAATGATCAGCAAAATTTAGGCAGTAGCATGGCTGCCTCGGATGAGAGTGACGCACGGGAACTCATGATGAATGACTTGGGATCTGGACTTGTAAGAGTCTCTGTTGTTGAAGTGAAACTGTGTTCCGCTGGTCAAAAACATGAGGTAGGATGGCTGGTATAAATCCCCTCATGAACTTGTAAGCATCAGTTAGCAGTGCCCGCCAGAACAAGAGTTGCTAATCAAAGGGGGATAAGCCACTAGACGCTGCGCCAAATTTAACAAGCAACAAATGTACAAAAAAGCTTTAGCGTATCGATCACTCACTGGTTTTTGCTAGCGCAACTTGCAGAAGTTCGATGCACCACGCGCGATGGAACCAAAATTGATCATCAAGCTTGCTCCATGTGACACTCGTGAGCCACTCCTATTGGACT